GCTTCTTCTTGATAAAACCTCTGAATTTGCCTTTGCTAAAAAAGAATCATTAATTCCATAAGAGTACCCCCTGCAAGGACCTCAATAGCCCAAGGACCTCTCAAAAAACCCTCCTCAAGTTTATAGGCTGACTTGACCGTCGGAGGTACCACAGGGGGAATTAGCCTCGTACTCCTGCGATTCTTGCATGTGCATGCTATCAGTCCACCCCGTGTGCTCAGAATCGGGCGTAGAGTCGAAAGAGGAGTCCTGTGCCCATCTCTTATGTCCTCCCCCGGCCTTCATCATCAACGGAAGACCTCATCGACTGTGTGTTCACGGACATCAAACAGATATATATAATAAATATATATATATATATATTATATAGATATATATATGATATATATATATATATATATCTATATATATATAGTAATAATATTTTTTTTATTATATATATATATATATATATTTATATACTATATATATATGAGATTAATGGGCTATCCTTGTCATAGGAGCAGGTAATTTCCTCTGACGCCTATGTGGCCCACAATCCCACCATCCTCATAAGTAGGAGAGAGTGTTGTGAGTTGGTGGGATTTGATGCCTACTATTACGAGGATGGTGGTGGATGTGCCACATAGACGCCGACAAGGAGCGGAAAATCCCCTCTATGACAAGGAATACCATTAATCGCATTATAGTATATATATATAATATATATATATATATATATTATATATATATATATATATATATATATATATATATATGTATATATATATATAGAGAGAGAGAGAGAGAGAGAGAGAGAGAGAGCAAGACTCCTATCAACTTAAGTGGATAGGGAATAGTTGTCCATCAAACTTTTTAGCCACTCATTTATTAATATAAAAAATCTCTTCATATCATGCAAGGATCCCTAGTATTTCATTTCATATATTCTATGTGGCATTTTGATAGGGGAGCTTTTTCTCTATATTTGTTTTATACTCACCTATGCTAATTTGTAGGGGGAGCTTTTGCTCTCTATTCTTTATATTTTCCCCATTTTGATATTGACAAAGGGGGAGAAACAAGTGGATTGTAAGTATTTTGTTATGAGTTATAAATTGTATATTTATTTGATATCATGCATAAGTTATATTTCTTTGTGTAGATTGTTTGTCATCATCAAAAATGGGGAGATTATTAGGTCTCATGTTTATGAGCCTACTATCTAATCTAGTTTTGATGATTAATAAACAATTCCTAATAATATTTGTCGAGTATTTATTTGCTTGTTAGGTATTATATACAAAGATCCTTTCGTTAGAGGTTAGTTGGATTGTGCCTACACGATCATATTCAATGGAGGTTGGTAGAATATCGGAATGAAGCTTTGCAATTCAAGTCAAGATCCTATATCGCTTCATCCGCAACCAAGATCAATCTAACAAAGATTTTTTCATCTTGGGTATATTAGTATAGGTGTTTATACTTTGTGTGTTGATACTTAAAACTCATATATCAAACACATGCATGTTTTGGTTTTATAACTTTCAAGTTAAAATAAATATAAAACAAATATACTTGTTTATATACATACATACACGTTTCATATTTATCATTTTTGTTTTTTGAAATTAAAGCGTTTAGCCACATAAATATGAAACAAATGAATACAAATTGTATACACTCATATTCGTTTCATGTTTATATGTGCTTGATATGATTTCATTGAGATCAAGATTTGAAATCATGTTTATTGTTTTGAAAGATTGCAAAATATGTGTATTTTTGATAAAACATTATGTTATTGATTTATGGACTAAATAATCTTAGTTTACATCTTTTATTTCGTCTCTAAATCCATAAAAGAGTTTTTCAAAACTTTGTTTAAGTCAAAATATCAAAAACAAGTGTATTGACATTTCGTATTTTGATCTGGTTTGCAAAATGATGAGTTTTCACAATTAGAAAGTGTAATTTAAAAAATTATTTTTGTAACATGTTTATATTCATGTTATAAATATTTCCCCAAATTTTATATTTTTTAGAATTTATTTGATATTTTTAAAAAGGTTTTAAAGTTGATATTTACTGTTCATATCAGGTTCTATGCACGTTTTAAGTCGACTTGCTACAGTACCAAGTCGACTTATAAAGTGTTGTGCAGTTAGTGATTTTTATCTGCTGAGTCAACTCATTATATAATCAGTCGACCCATTATAACATAAGTCGACTCATGTCTGTCATAAGTCGATTTATAATATGACTGTTGTATAGTAGCAACTATTTTCCAAGATTTTATTATTTTTAATGTTTTTAGTGGTTTTTGCTAGTTTCTTGGGGCTCCTATATATACCCCTTTTCCCTCTAACTTTTGAGGATATCTAAGAAAAGTTTTAAATAAGTTTACAAAGGTTTTAAGGGTGTTTAAGTTTGGTTTTCAAGTTTGTTTTATGAAGTTGTTTTCACAAGAGTAAGATGAGATAATTCATTCTTGTTTGGGCTTCAATTCTCATCTCCATCACTCTTGTTGCAGAGAAGTTTTTGCTAACTCAATTCTAGATTTATATATTCATTTCTTGATTATCAATTTTATTAAGCTAGATTTTATATTGAGTTTGCAATTTATTTTTCTTATTGTTAACACACACATCCCTTAAGTTTTAATATTATCACATTAAGTATAATTAGGGTTGTGAGGTTGTAACATTGAGAGTGAGCTTCATTGAGTTCTCATCCATTATAGAGAACAAAACTTGTATTTGAGCTTTTATTGTGAGATCACATTGTAAAACACAAGGACACCGAGAGGAGTGTGTGGTGAGTGACGGGGTCAATTCCTAAAGGAGTGGCATCGGTAGTAAAGCCTAGGAAGAGATGGTAAACCCGAGCACTTGAGGAAGGTGACACGTGAGAGGCCAACACTTAGAGGGTGTATTGTGTGATTGCATTTGTGAGAGTTGTGAAAGTTTTCGGCAAGCTAGAAATCCGATTGTGTGACTTGTAAAAGTTTTCTGTGAACATTGAAAACTGATTGTGATAGTGGAGATTCTCCTCGAGAGTGAGGCGCAGAGACGTAGGTTGAGAGTGACCAAACTCCGTGATCATATCATGTGTTTGTGTTGTCTATTTGCGCACTATCTATTTTGTATTTCAATTCATGTTTATATCGCCCTTTGTTTATATTATATATTCTTGCTCATAATTCGTTGTATATCATTCTTGTAAGAATAAATTTTTAATTAGTTTTAAATTGGTATTAATATCATATTATATTAGGAAATACCCTATTCACACCCCCTCTAGGGTAATTTCAGTAGCTTCTTGGGTCTGGCCAGCTATTATAGGAAGTTCATCCAAGGCTTCTCTAAGATTGCTATGCCGCTAACACGCCTTAGGAAAAAAGGTGTACAGTTTATTTGAGGCTCGGAGTGCTAGAAGTTATTTGAGACTTTAAAGGCTAAGTTGACTACAGTGCTGGGGTTGATCATCCCGAGCAGTGATAAGACCTTTATTGTCTACACGGATGTATCGTTATCAGGTCTAGGAGGTGTTTTGATGTAGACCTAGAGAGTAGTAGCTTACATCTCAAGGCAGTTGAGGACTCATGAGCAGAATTATCCCGCACATGACATGAAGTAAGCAGCAGTGGTTTTCGCACTGAAGACGTTGAGACATTATCTTTATAGAGTATAGTTTGAGTTCACGGACTACCAAAGTCTGAAGTATATTTTTTCCTAAAAAGAACTCAACTAGAGTCAGTGACGATGGGCCGAGTTCATTAAGTATTATGAGTTCGTGCTTCAGTATCATCCGGGAAAGGCGAACGTTGTAGCAGACGTGTTGAGTAGGAAGCGTTGTCATCAGATTTCAGCTTTGAGATGCTCATTATACAGAGATCTCCACACCCTTAGCCAATTTGATTTTAGACCAGAGATTAGTAGAAGCAGCGCATTTTTAGGATCTTTAGCCGTGCAGTCATCGTGGGCTAATAGAGTGGTCAGAGCTCAGTTAGAGGACTCTTGGATTCAAACCCGGAAGGAGGAGATTTTCAAAGAGCTCATGGCTGATTGGACCATTGGAGTAGATGAAGGCCTTCGAATGAAGGTCGGTTAGTCATGCTGAATAATCCGTAGTTGAAGAAGGATTTATTTGATGAGGCACATTGCACTAGGTACACCGTGCATCCAGGCAAAACCAAAATGTACAAGGACCTGAAGAGACAATTTTGGTAGAGCGGCATGCGTATGGAGATTTTAGAGTATGTGGCTAAGTACTTTACCTGTCAGCAAGTGAAGATAGAACATCAGAGACCAGCAGGAACCCTACAACCTTTACCCATTCATGAGTGGAAGTGAGAAGATATTTATATGGATTTTATTGTAGGATTACCGAGGTCAAGCAAGGGGAATGATTCCATTTGGGTGATAGTTGATCGCTTGACAAAGTCAACGCATTTCTTACCGATGAAGATGATTCATATGGCGGAGACTTATGTGAGGATTTTTATTCGGCAGATAGTTTGATTGCATGGAGTTCCGGAGATGATTGAATCAGATCATGGCTCAATTTTCACATCTCATTTCTAGAAGAGCTTCCAGAATTCATTCGGTAGCCAGTTATTATATAGCAGTGTTTTCCATCTGCAGACAGATGGGCAAACGGAGATAGTGAATCAGGTGTTGGAGGATATGTTGCGGGCATGTGTTATCGATTCCTAGGGCAGCTAGGAGGATTATATTTCATTGATTGAGGTCGCCTACAATAACAACTATCAGGCGACGATAGCTATGGCACCGTATGAGGCGTTATATGGGAGGCCTTGTAGATTCTAGATTTGTTGGGTAGAGCCGGAGGACAACTTATTGCTTGGGCCAGAACTTGTGAGGTAGACCACGGAGAAGGTAGTGTTGATTCGAGAGCATATTCTTGCTACTCAGAGTTGACAAAAGAGCTACGCAGATCATAGGCGACGACCTTTAGAGTTTCAGGTTGGAGATTATGTTATGTTGAAGGTGTCACTGATGAAGGGTGTTCAGCAATTTGGCAGATGGGGAAAACTTACCCCGAGATACATTGGTCCATTCAGGATTGTTGAGCGTGTTGGAGCCATATCGTATAGGCTAGATCTTCCAACATCGATTTTGGGTGTACACGATATTTTTTTTGTTTCGATGCTCAAGAAGCATTTACGCGATAAGGAGCAGCAGAGGGTGATTGATGCATCAGAGTTAGAGATTCAGGCAAATTTGGCCACCATTGAGATTCCAGTTTGCATCCTTGTCAGGGAGGATAAGAAGCTTAGAAATAAAGTGATTCATTTAGTGAAGGTACAGTGGAATCGGAAAGGAGCTGAGGAGGCTTCTTGGGAGCACGAGGAGGACATGCATCGCGACCACCCTCACCTGTTTGAGCAGGTAAAATGATTAGTTATGATTGGTTTATGATTCATGTTATTTATATAACCATATTTACATTTAACGCTGGAATGAGGGTATTGATACTTAGCTCCTAATCACTCGGAACACATGATATATATATATGAGGGGTTCCTTGCTTGGATTTTTTGCCCAACGTACCATTTCTATTAATTAGGGGTTAAGTGGAAGTATTTGCATTCTTGGTAGTTAAGTGTAAATGATTGCTTGTGATTCATATATGGGGACTAATGGTACGAGATGTGTACATAAGGGTTTTCTTGTCTGGATTATTCTCTCATCATGCTTTTCTTGTATTATTAATCTCTAAGATACGATTGTGAAATTTCGAGGATGAAATTATTTTTTTTGGGGGGGGGGGGGGGTGATTTTTTTTGGGGGGGGGGGGGTGTTGAATGTAAAACCCCATAAATTTTGACAATAGTGTGACTTATAATGATAAATGAGTTTTAAATATGGTAAATATCATTTATAGATGAATGATTACGTTAACAATTGATTTGATATCAATTAAGAGTATATATGAGAAGTATACAAGTGTCAAACATGTACAAGAAACGAGTGAGACGCGAAAACATGCACAATAGATCAAAGGTTGGAATTAGCCTCTGATCAGTCGACTGATGTTGTTTCAGTCGTCTGACGAGGTTATCAGTCGACTGATGACAGACATTAGTTGACTGACACACACACACACACACACACACACACACACACACACACACACACACACACACACACACACACACACACACACACACACACACACATACATACATACATACATGTTTTTGTCACAAAACATTCATCTTTTCATCAGCCTTTCTAAACCCTAGCAGCCTCTCTCATTCCCTCTCAAACCCTAACCCTAATTTGGGTTTTCAGGAGAGCTTTGTGAAGCAAACACCGAGAGGAGGATGAGATTTGCGACGTTTGGTGACGAGGGATAAAGTCTTGCTTGTTTCTGAGAGTTTTGCATGTGGTGAAAGACACGATCATCTTCCTCCAAAGCTCTCCTTAGTTAATAATTAAATCTTTATGTGATAATTGTGATTAATCTCATGTTTAGGGTTAAACTAATGTGTTAGAGCCTAATTTATGATATTTAAATCTTAAATCAATACTATGAACAGTAGTATAAATTTGTATCGATGAGTTTATATGATTATGATCATTAAGGTTGTTTTAACAGGTTAATTACATTTTAATTTGGTTTAAATACCCTAGTTAACACAAGAGTTTGGTTTTAATTGGATGTTAAACCCTAGATTTATGAATCTACATGAATTATCATGTTTAAACAAATCTCTGGTTAAGTTTTCATGAGTTATAAATCAGTGTTCATCAAATAGATAAATAAAAAACCCGAGTTTTGAGAGTAACAGACAACAAACCCAAACCCATGCATTTTTGGTCTGATCAGACGACTGACAATGAACGTCAATCGACCAACGGGTGTGCTCCGGCCTTGTGCACGCAGCCGATCAGTCGACCGAAGCTCTTTGTCGGTCGACTGATCAGGCCCAGTTTGTGAACTTTGTTCCCTTACATGTGGGTTCGATTTGCGAGCGTGAAGTGTGACACTTATACTGATATTTGTTAGAACCTAGGGGGGTGATTAGGGTCTTATGCTAATCTAATCCAATAAAATACCAATTAAACCTAATTAACAAGTTATCCTAGCAAGTATGAAATATAACAACTATATAAGCTAGGATAAGCAAAATGAACAATGAGATAATATAATGAAATATATATATATATATGCAAGGATATATAAACTAACACAAGATGATATATCCTACCAAAGAGATATACAATATGATATATGCAAGGATATGAAAACTAACACAAGGGGTAAACAATCTAAACTAGATAGTGGATGATATAAATAATGAGCTATGGACAATGGCGACAAGAAATATAAACATAAGATTAAGTGCGCCAAATCAAACTCAAACACACTATATGATCACGGAGTTCGGACCTTCCGTCCTACGTCTCCGCTCTCCACTCCTGGAGAGAATCCACTATCACAACCGGGTTTTCTATGCTCACCCGAATAACGTTTACACCTCACAGTGTCGGTTTTCAACGCTCACCGAACAACGTTCACTCCTCACACTCGGTTTTCTAGTTCACCGAAAACTTCACAACACACTCGGTTTCTAGCTCACCGAAAACCTTACAACACTCATAATGTAACAAATATAAATTTGTTCTCTACAATAGATGAAAACACAATGAAGCACAACTCAATGTTACAATCTCTCACAACCCTAATATACTATGTATGCAAATACAATAAGCTCATGTGGGTGTGTGTAACAATGAGATTAAAATTAAATCTAACTCAAATAGCAAACTAGCAATAATAAGAATATAAAAATCAATAATAAAATTGCCAGAGAAAAGAGTTAGAAAACTTCTCAATAGATCAAGAGGTAGAAGGAGAATAGTTGGATGCCCAAACACCAATAGATGATCTCCTCAAGCTCTTGTGAAATTGATTTCTCAAACTCAAAATTCCAAATGCTTAAAAGCTTCTTAAACACACTTAAACCAAACTAAAACCCTAGTTAAAACTCTTTTAAACTTGGTTAAAAACTCTCTTGGATAATAGAAAATAGTTATGGCAAAGGGGTATATATAGGCTTGAAGAAACCAACCCCAAAAACCCCAAAAAACCATTAAAAAACAAAAAAACAGCAACTAGCCGTTACTGTGTAACGGTTGGCTGCTACAGTAACTTCGGTCGACCGGTACGGTCGACCGTGAGCCATATGCAAAGCTGAGTAACGTCCAGAGAGTTTGGCGGTCGACCGTACCGGTCGACCGCGGGTACTGTAGCACTGCGTTTTAGTTTTGTAAAATCAATTAAAAATAGTAAAACAGCTCCAAAAAATATAAAATTTTGTGAGAAGGTTATAGACATGTAAAATAACATGTTAGAGAAAGAATTTCTAGAAAAGAATTTCCCAGTTGAGAAAAATAAATGTTTGAACACAGATTTACAGTTTCTAAAAAACTGCTGACATACATGATTTTGTAAAATCAATTGGGCATAGTAAATCAACTCCAAAAATAGTAAAATTTTGAGGGAAGTTTCTAAACATGTAGATAAACATGTCAAAGAAAGAATTTCTTGAATACCACTTCTCATTTATGAAAACTCATCTGTTTTGTAAAACATGCACGAACATGTGCACGAACAAAAACATGATTTTGTAAATTCCATTAACATAACAAATCAATTCCAAACTTGATGAAATTTTGCGAAATGTTTATAAACATGAAAATAAACATGTTAGAAAAAGAATTTCTCAAATTGAATTTCCATTTGTGAAAACTCATGTATTTTGCAAGTGTGTCCAAAGCATGAAAACTCAAAACCATGCATGTATATATATAACTATATATATACATAGAAACCAAAACTTATGTATATCTATATAACTATATAGATATACGAAGAATCCAATAACTATGTGTGTATATGATATTGAGCTTAGACTATCTAACACACATAATATAAAATCTAAACTAGATTACCCAAGCTTGATCTTGATCTTCATTGTAGCTCAACTTGGTACACATGCGGATGAAGCTTGAACTTGATCTTTAACTTGAATTGTACGTTGCTTCACTCCACAATTCCTCCAACCTCCATTGGATATGATCGTTGAAGCTCTATTCCATCCATCCTCCAACTCGTTGTTTGTCTATAATAAATAGAAATATACCAACACTAGACAGACAACATTAGTAGTAAATTGTTTGTTAAACATCATCAAAACAAAGAGGCCAACAATATTTATGCATGTTTCGAGGAGCACACGTACTGAGTTTGAGTACGTACAAATCCATTGTTTGGAGTATCCAAATAGTTTACATTCGTTACGAGTAACAGTTTTTTTAGCTTTTGTTGCGGATGCTGAGTGGGGTTAGTTAGTGCCCGCAATGAGGCCGCGGATGGACTACACTCCGAGTGCGTTAGTCAGTGTACCACAATGAGACTGTGATGTACTTCACTCTATTATGCATCGTTGTTCTCGCACGAGTGTGTGCAGAGGTCGATGAACCTATATTTTTGTTTCTGCATGTTTATGCATAGAGGTTGATATACCTACTTGTCGATCTACACAATGGTGCGATGAGTTGAAGAATTTTAGAGAAAGATGATTTCATAAACTTAATGATAACATGAGTCACAGGTGATGATTGTATTTCCTTTAATATGATTTATTGTGGAGGTACTTTACATCGTTGGTACACATGATTGTGTATTGGTATTTGCTTGTTCTACTAAGGGTAGTATGAGGAGTTGAATGATATTTATGGAGATGGTTGTTATATTCTGGTATTGCTTTTTATTATTATTTTATTCCTAGTTGGAATTTATATTTAGAAATTTACAACTTAAGGCACATGCTATATACATGAGGGTTTCCTTGTTTGGATTATTTCGCTCGACGTAGCAGTCTTATGTTGTGAATTTCTAAATATAAATCCCATGTAGCACATAGTAAAATGATTTAGGTAGACTATGCACTTATAGGTAGAGTCTCCATCATATTTAGTAGCTCTTCCCTTGGGGGCAGATAGAGATGATCTTGCTAACGCTCTAACGTTGTTGATATTCCTTCTTTTCAGGCGGCGGTTCAGAGTTTCGGAGAGCCGCAGGTTGACAGACTTTCAACATAGTCGCCATCACTTACTTATAGTAGTTTCTACTCCCACAATTGTTTAGATTGATTTTTAGTTGATTATTAGACTTCCATTTCATTTTGAGAGCTGAGAACTTATGTATTTTCAGTTGACTCTTGTAGTTGAGATTATTGACCATTTGTATCAGATTGTCGGACACATTTTCTTTTATGTCTATTAAGACTTGATTACTTCTGGTATTGATCATTTATTTCTTATGTTCTATTTCCTATTTTCATTTCTTTTATATATGCTTGTACATACACTGTCTTTTATTGATT